GCTCTTCCTGCTCTTAAATTCCCTGACCTCATGGGCCTTGAGCTGCTGCTTTCTCTGACCTGCAAGTCTGCCTCTATCCAGAGGACTCTCTCTGGCCCCCTGACCTTGATCTATTTCCTGCTTACGCTTTTGCTACCTGTGAAATGGGCCCTACTAGACTTTTGAACCAGTGCCCGCTCTATCTCGGATGCCTGCTAGACCACTCAATCCTTCTGAAAGCCAGAGAGCCAGGCTTGGCCCTTGTCTATCCCCCTCTCCCTGGCTGCTTCTCACTCTACAGCTTAGAGAAGTTATTCATTTCAAAAGCTAGGAAAGTTACAATTTACCTGCCAGTAAACAGAAGATGGTTTATCAACAGACTCTACCTTAATGACTACAAATGTTTACCTCCTGCTTTCCAGAATGCAAAGAAAATCTTGGAAATGTCATAATATCTTACAAACATTTGCAAAACAGATCCTTGATCATCCGGAAAAGAAACAATTGTATTCATTGTCTCTGACACAAGGAAAGTGTTCAGTGAGAAACATACAGATAGATGTACACACCTTACACTGAAATGAGATATGTTAATTAAAAATTGCAGTGGGCACTTTATTAAAAATTTATTTTACAATCTAGCCATTCAAAACATCTTGACATCAACAAATAGAGCAGCTTGACTATTGGAATCATAAGTGATTTATCTTGAAAAGATTATATTTGTAGCTGGATGCAAATACTTTTGATGGATATTTATATCAAAATGACTGGTTTTGTTAGAAGTATTTTAATTTCCCTATTTTTATCCCTGGAAAAAAATTAAAACAAGTATCTCAGTGTTCATTTTATGGATGAGATGGCCCCACTTAGTGTATTTCCCATGTTTGTCTGAATTACAGCTGTTTATCTTGCAACTATTCTTTAAGATAAATTAAATGCAAATGTAACTCTGTGAATCATGGGAATACCTGCCAGACCCCTTATTAATACCTTCACTTAAAAACCCCTGTGCCAGGGAGTCATTAATTTGCTAAAAGAAAAGTGCTACAGCAGACCTTTGCCCACAAACATTTCTGAGATGGCTGCCCAATTAGTTGGTAGCATTCTGAGCCTCCTTTCAGACCCTGTGGCCCTTTGAGGACACAAGAAGGCTCCGATGATAACCTGGCAACCTAGGTAGAAACCCAGCCAAGTGAGAGTGTTTGAAGCTGTAGTTTCGCTGCCATCGTGTCGGCAAAAAGAAAGAATTCAGGCACCATGTCATCCAGTACAAAGGATAAAAACGGATTCAACCGGAAATTCAATGTGGCACCACATATGGGATACATGAGTGCGGTTATACAACAGGCCACATATTTTTTTTGAACAGTCTCCTCCATGTGATGCCGAGGACATGTGTAACCATCATAACGTCTCTAGGAATCTGTATTTAATTTGAGTTGGGGTGGTGGCAGGGATTGGAGATCTGAAGCTGCCACAGGTTTGTGGCAGATGGCTCTGTGTCAGCTATGACAAGCAGCCAGGCTCAGCTTCCTCTGCAGATTTTCTTTTCTCTCTGATCAGGTAAATATGGGCACACTCTGGAAAGTTCTACAGATTCTGCCTTAGGCTGCAAGTTTGTGACTTAGCCCCATCTGTCACAAATCTTCCCTAGGTTCTGCTGTAAGCAGAGACCTGAATTTACCGTGTAGGGCTGCCCAAGAAAAAGGAGCTATTTCACCCTGTAAGGGGGAGGGAGAGAAGAGAAAGCAATGAGGAAGCATTAACGACCCGAAAGACGAAAGCATGCTGAAAATTCATATTGCAAATTTGCATAATTTACATCAATTAGACTTCAAAAAGCCACCAAGTAAATGGTTCTCGAGTTTCATCACCTCAGGAAATCCCAGTTTCTGATTGGTTTAAAGTGTAACTGTATTTCCAATCATTGGGGAAAGCTGCCTACCCCCTTGTTTTTTGCAAATGGGTACATTCGACTGCACACATATTTCCTGGTTTATGTTATGGATGACAGCTATTAGAAGTTTATCGTCCAACTTTTAACTTTTATAAACATAAGGTACACAACACTCTTAATACATGTTTTTGCGGATGTGAATTTTACTTTTAAGTGGTGAAGGCACAAGAGAAATGCCATTACTGTTACGTGGAATTTATAAAGCACTTCAAGTTTACAAACGGGTTTATATTCATTATTTAATTATAGCAGGGCCTCAGGGGCAAAATGCTATTAAAAATTAAGAAAAAAAGAATTCTTCCAAGTTTACAGATGAATCATATAGAGGCCAAGAAGTTCACCTACAGCCAGGCTACAAATTAGTAGCAGAGAAAAAGAAGCAGCCAAAACCTCTAACCGATCTTAATCACCCCAAGTATACCTATTGTGCTAAAGAGTTTTTGCTTTTATTTTACTTAAACAAATCAAGGGAAAACCAAGCCAAAACAAAATCAAGGAAAGACGTGAAGAAAGAGAGAGGGAAGAGTAGTGGGGAGGGAGGGAGAGAGATCGAGACTGAGAATTTGCCTTAAATTGTGTTGGTGCAAATGAGAGATTTTAGAAGTTCTAAAAACATCACGAGCTTTTAACTGTTCACTTTTAAGGAAAAAAGTAATGACTTTGGAGGCGTGTTAATACTAGTGAGTACCACCTTATTCACACTTAGAGTAGAAACTCAAATTAAAAGGGGGCTATAAAGTGACCAGTCTCTTGAAGGAACCTTAAAGTGGCTTGGCTGTGGTTCGGGAGATATAGCCTGATATAATTAAGACAAAACCACAAATGGCTTTTCTGGGCACTGAGTCTGAGTTGTAAGCTTAATCATTGTTTGGAATCACTTTTAGGCAGAAATCTGAAAATTGCCCTCTCCTCCAAATAACAGCAGGTTATAAAGGTTTCTGGAATGTTGAAGAACTGGAAGAGGAGAACAAAATAAAAATCAGCTGCTATCATCTGAAAAAACTTAAGAAACTACAGTTTACCCTCGTAAAGCAAAGGAAGGATGGCATCTCTTTTTTTCCTCCCCACACAGCATATCTCTCCATTTGTAAATAAAACTACATGAAAAATAGGGTGGGAATGAAAATCTATTCTGTTAGTCTGGGCAGTATATATTTTATTCAACTGCCCCACTTGTACTCTTGTGCTATTTTTCAATACCGGTAACAAGGGGGTGAACATAAATTTTCTTCTAAAGCATTTTAAAATATAATGATCAAAGTTTCTCTAAAAGCATAAAGTACTGATCTCAAATAGTTGTTGGGAACTTTCGGGAAGTAAATTCCCATAGTCAAAATGAGCCAAAAATTACGACTTCCCGGTATTAGACTTACTTCGGTTGTAAAAGGAAGCCCGATGTTAGTGTAAGAAGTTAATCCTTGGCTGATTACTTTATGATTATTTCTCGAATCTTGTGTTCAAGTTTGGTTTAGGAGTCATCAAAGAGCTCCCTATTCCAGATGAAGTGAAACTTACTTTATCTCTGTGGCAAGTGTTTGGCTAATGGGTCTAACCTACTTAGAAAAGGACGCGGTACAAGAAAGCTGCAGTCAACGGTTGAGCCTAGTGGCAAACTTTTTAAGAAATGGTTTTAGATTTTTTAAAATTCAGAACATAGTTTTTAAAATAATTAAGAAACAGTTTCTGCATGTATTTCTTTAAATATTTTAAGAAAAATTGTGTGTGTGTGTGTGTGTGTGTGTGTGTGTGTGTGTGAGAGAGAGAGAGAGAGAGAGAGAGAGAGAGACAGAGAGACAGAGAGAGCAAAAGAGAGGGAGAGATAAAGGGAACACACTTGCACGCACGTGAGGAATTTAAACATTTCAAGTCTGAAACCATTTCAGGTGAGAAGTCATGGGCACAGAGTTCTGTAGTAGGAAGAGTCACTTTAAGAAAAAAAAAGTATCAAATTCTGTTTCTGCTTTTCAGTTACTAGCATTCTGTTTCAAATCCTGCTTCAAGTTATAGCCCCCAAACTCTCACTCATATTGAAAGTATAATGTCTCAAGTGAGAAGAGAGCCAAGTGTTAGTAGCCTTATTCTAGTCATTAAATTTCTAAGTGTGAATCCATATGAAAAATCCTATCCTAAAGTGAACTCTACATGGTAAGTAGTTGAGATGATTTTAAAATGTAAACTTTTAACAACAGAAAAAGAGAGTAAGGTGTAAAAATGTAAAAGGAGCAAATTAAAGAATTCAGTGACATTCTATCCTTTTAGATCTTAGAAGCATATGTTTTTAAAAGCAAAACAGCACTGTCCAAGGGAACAAATCTAAAAAAACCCCCCAACACTCTCTTTATAGTATACACAAAAGTCTCTTCCATTGCATAAGAGAAGTAGGCAAAAAGCTGCCTTGGGGGAAATAATTCTCTGGTATTTAGTGAGGGCAAATGTTACCTGATATGTGTATATTTATAAAACATAAGGTAAAAAAATAGTGTAACTTATTATATCTTAATTATAAAGTTTTAGCAGGCATTCTTTTTCTGTTTTAGCTCTAAATCTTATTACAACAACCCAACTAGATCTGTGGTCCTTCCTGTGATTTCTACCAGTTTGTCCTGACAATTGCATTATAAAGCTCTTGATTACGTCTATTTCTTGGACTAATTTATTAATTTTTGAGATTAATTTTTGGATATTATGTCATCACAATCTATGAATGAGGACATATATTAAAGTGTATAATAGATTTATAAGAAAAAAACATCCACGGTAAAAAGTATGTAAAAGGAATTACATATATATATTCTTATAAATGCTTATGCGTGAAACACTAATTTATAAAACTTTGAGTTGGACCATTTTAGGATGCGTGGACTAAAAATATATGTAAGCCATAGTAACATGAAAAAACATTTAATGTATAGGCTATCTTTTAAGCTATAGGAGGAACAATTTGGTATATTAACAGCATACCACTAAGCTGACATTCTTTCAAAGTTTTTCCAGAAGTTGTTGGTAAAATAAATAATTATAACTATGTTACGGCAATAGCTGTATTAAAGTATTTCAACTGGAGATCTGTTTTTTATTGTAACTAAAAGCAACCTGTTGCAGTAATTTTTGAAATGGTTAAAGATTTGCAGATGCAAAATAACAGGGATAATAAGGCCTACCTGGAAGCCAAATTAAAAACGGATAAATTTTGATGGTGGAAGTACAATTATAAATGCTTCACCATTTTCATCACAAGGTAAAAACATTCCTTCCTGCCCCCTTTTTTGTACCGATATGTGGTGATGGGTGATAACTAAAACTTGCGGTGGTAATAATTTCACGATATATGTCTGTCATTACGCTGCACACCTTAAACTTATACAGTGCAGTATGTCAGTTATATCTCAATAAAACTGAAAAAAAATATTGCCCAAAAATTCACCAGAAGGAAAAAAAAATCAATAATTCAACGGTAAACTCATTGAAAATAGCTTTGTGTCATATGTAGAAAATGAATCCACTTGTGTTAATACATATTATTCTATTTCTTCATTTTCATAATCTGCACATTTTGATAGTCTGTCACGTGGGAAACTACTAAATTAATATTTTACACAAACAAGACCACGACTGAACTTTCAAAATTAGGAAATCTGGATGTAAACCTTGGAAGTCTGTTTTCTCGTTGAAGCTTCCCATGTATACGATACAATCGTATTGACTGAAGGAGTAATACTGAAGCCTGGAACTGTTCAGTCAGCATTTTAAACTATTATGAGCTACCTTCTGAACCATTGCCAAGTTAATAGACAATGAAAGATAATGAGCTTGAAATTGGGTGTTAAATTGCATTTTTGGTTCTCTCCCTTTTTCTTGAAGTTTAACCGTTTCCTGCAGAAACAGAGTCATGTTTTGATGTATCACTATGTAAATATGTATTTTAGGCCATGACAAGGGAAAGGAGAGAAAAAAGGCAGCGAACTGTATTTCATGTAGGAAGGTTATATATTAACACAGGAAAATTAAAATATGCTGGATTATAAAACTGCTAGATTGTAAACTATACTGGATTTATGTAAAATGAAGTTGCTACATTCAAAGAATATAAAAAGGTATATTACTCATGGCCTAGAGCCACCTTCAAAACTCATAAAGCAGATTTATCCCAGTTCAATTACTTAGACTTTTAGTAGGGTCTCTTTGTGTTGTTATTTCAACAATGTAAAATTTTTGATTCAAACAAGGGAAAAGAGATAATGAATGAGGGAACTGAATGATGATGCTATTTAAACTCTTTTCCTTTTGCCTTTGTCATTCAGAGAGGATATTGACAGTCTAATTCTAAACAAACTGAGGGTTTTTATGTAATTTTACTAAACTGGACAAAGGAAACATTTGATTCTTTGAAAATCATCTTTAAAGTAGTTAAAAAAGTGAACACCCAACTTCATGAATGTCATTCACCTGAATTTTTGAGGACTGAAGATTTCATTCTGATGGGAAGAAAGGCTTATCCTCATTAGTATAATTGTAGAATCTTTCCTTTACTTCCTTTTAAACTAATGAGTTACATTAATCCAGGTTCATTTTTATAAGCCTCTTGGGGCTAAATGTAAAGGACAGTCATCTTAGAAAACAATAAATTAAAAAAAAAGCATGTACCGTGCATTAAGTGCACGTATTTCATAAGGCCTAGGTTAATACAACTAGCATCCAGTTTAATTAATCCTTGTTAGTGGAACAACTAATATCCCTCCCTAGCATGTTTCCTTTAAACATTAGTATGTTAATTAAATGTTTTTTTTTTTTAAGATTTCTCTTTGTACTTCAATATGGCATGTATACCACGTAAATCTCTTCTCAATAACTACCTTATAGAGATGTTTTCTTACAATATCTGGTCTCTTGCAGAAATTCTGGAGCCTTTTTGAAAGCTGTTCAGGTGTAGAATACAGATATTCAGCTGCAGGAAAAACAGATACATTTTTAATGAAACAAAAACCTCAAAGCACACACTTGATATTAGTCACTTTACTAATTAAAAATGCATATTGCTCTGTGCTGCCTCGTGTTTTACATTATTTAAGCATGATTTTATAAGGTTACCTCAGCTCACAAGGATGTTTAATGCTAAATAAGACTGTGTAGTTGTGCTGTTTAGACATCTCCTCTGGGTGATTAAAATACATTATTCTAATGTAACACAATGCATATGTGATATATTTAGTGATGAGAATTTTTTCAAAGAACTAGTACGACAGCCGTATGTACCCTGTACAACAGTTGCATATTATTAACTAGTCAATTGTTGAAATAATTTGGTGTGACTTTCAGTCCTCAGTTTTTCTCTGTGTATATCATTAAAAAAAAAATCTGTAAGCAATTGCAGCAACACTGACCTGCTTATAAAAATCCATCATTATGGGATGTGTATGCTAACAATGAAGAATGCTATTTGAAAACTTGCTTTTTTGTTATCTTAAAAGAACAGATGGTAAATATAAGCTTACTCTAATGTATTAAAACACATAAAATTTTCCTTAACACTAACATGTTGACTTGCCAAATAAACAATTGCTCCTGCCTAAGTTTATTTTCAAACTTTCTAATTTAGCATGAATCATGTATTAAATCTCAACAAAGACGAAAGTACATTAAAGCAGCTACCTGGAAATATTTCGGGATAAACCAAATCTTTGGGACAGAGTGGGTAACAACCACAATACACAGCTTCCAACCTAAAGAAATTTTAGAAAGAGGATAAAAATATATTAAAAAGACATTACCATCAGAACCAGAAAGTGGTTCTGTTTGTCTAAGTTAACAGTATGAGCCCAGAGTTAACTGGGATGAAGAATATGGTCGGCAGTACAATCCTAAAAGCCAAAGTTGCTCTTTTAAAAGATTTTATTAATCATATATGAATTTCATAGAACAGAACCAACAGCATATGTTTTGTTCACTGAATTAATCAAAGCGCAGCTCTGCATTTTTTTTGTTGTTTTTAAAATACTGTTTAACACATTTTATAATCAGCAGATAAACACATGTAACAACATGGTAAAGTATGGACAGCTTTTCTTAATAACGCTGCAAAGCCCCAGAATGTTCATTTTTCAAAATGTTTAAATAAAATAGCAAATACTTTAACACTGTAGCTGTAGAAATCATCGAGGCACTTTTAAAAGCATCAGAAAAAAATTTACAATCTGTTGTGATGGGGCATTTTCATTTTAAGCTAAAGCTTCAGGATAGTTACTTATTAGGCAGGATATAGAACTATTCCCCCCTTTTACTGAAAAACTCTCATGAAGATTACCTTAATGAATATTTTGCTTTCTTGACTCAAAATTCAGCTCATTTTCCATTTTATCCAAAAAGAATACTGCTATTATTAAACAAAGAAACAAGAAAGTTTCACTTTGTGAGAGGATTTCCCCAGGGACCACCTCCCTATAGGAAGTTTTTCTTCATGTCATAGCGGTAAGGGTTAAGTACAAGAAAGGTATTGCATCTTGATGGCTGTGTTAGCCCTGCATAATGGCTATTGATCTGACATACAATAAACCTTAAAGATACCACTGTAATTTCTGTTGGCTAGGAATTATGCAGTGAAATTCAAAACACTCTTTAAAATATGTTTATTTTATGAGAAACTTTGAATTGCATCCAAAATGTTGACCAAAGGCAGAATTTTATTTTGAACTGCAGATTTTTTTCAACCCAAGAATAGTTTGAAGTTATGTCAATGTTTACCTTGTTTATTTACAGCGACAAAGTACATGCAATTTAAGCTGTTTTTAAGTGGGTGATGTTTTCCCTATTTTATAACTGAAATTAGTTTAAATGAAAAGTATTTACTTTGAGCTGCAAAGTTCGGAAAAATACTGAGTTCAAAGTTTTGCTTAAGAACTGCTAGCAGTTACCAGATAACACAGTGGAAAGGCACAGGATCTAGTTACCAATGATTAATTTCAAAATCCAAACTAATATCTAATATTCTTTTTTACATAAATAGGGTATGTATAGAAATTCTTATCATAAGCACAGCTATAAAACTGCACTGTGACTGCATTATAAAACATTCACAAAAGTTTTGAGCACATAAACTGGGGATATTCTTTATGAACAAAAAGAAAATATGCACTTTATCTGAAGACACTCAGTTTTAAAATGCTTTGCCAATCGAAAAGCAAATACATATGAACATTCTCTTATAATTACATAAAATCAAAAGAGTGAAGTCACAGGCATTTCAGAAAGTGCACGTTATCTGCTTTTTAATAATGGATTTGAATTAGAGTGTTCTGTTCCCCGAAAGAAAACTGCAGGCCAAGTTACATTTTGAGTCATCGTATGAGCATGTACTCTGCCATCTCCAAAAAAACCTCTGCTAATTAAAATACAGTGAGAGAGGAATGGCATTATTTGATTTAGGAAGAAAAAAAATTTACAAATTTGGATTCCAACTTTTATTTGTAAATTATCTTCTTCGTGGTTATATTTCTAATTCATCAAGAAAAAAACAATCACCATTTTTGGTTATAATTTTGACCTCTAAAATACTAAACCTTATTACACACATTATTTATATCAAGACTGTGTTTTAAAATATATTAAATTTGCCACAATATTTTAAAAGAAATTTATAAAATTCCTTCTAAGTTCCTCATATTTTGTTATTTTGAAGAAAATGATCATCTCATGACAGTAATACAATTATTCATCATTTCAATTCTTATGCACTACCAGTTAAATAATAAATAGGGTTCCAATTGATCTATTGTTAAAATGACTAGCAAATGACCTTTTTATTCCAATTAACAAATCATCTGCTAAATCTATGAATCTTAATATTCAGATCTATTCACTTCAATTCATACAATTTATCTGCAAATAGTTGTTGGGCTTTTGATTCTAAATATAATTAGCTGATAATTTTGCTTGGCTGAATTACTTTTCTGGAGGGCCTGCAAAGGCTCTCAGTCGCATTATCTAGCAATAATGAATCTGATAGGTGAAATTTTTTACTGTAATGAGGATGAGACACAGTTGTGACACCTGAGTCTACTAATAACA